GTCCTATTTATGACTGAGGCCATACCACCCTGAACATGCCCGATTTTGTCTGATCTCAGAAGCTAAGCAGGGTCGGGCCTGGTTAGTACATGGATGAGAGACCACCTGGAAATACCAGGTGCCGTAAGCCTTTGCACTTCTCACAAACCTCAGCAGGGGGTGTGTTCAAGCCAAGAGTCATTGTCAGTACTGGGGGCTAAGCACCCCAAAAGGTGAGATCTTAGAATCGCCCCTGGTCAAGGAATCTTTCTACAGGGGTAGGGTGCACTCCAGGCAGCAGATTGGTGCACAGGAAGTGTATTATACCAGCGAGAAATAAAACTACACGCCAGAAAACCACTTATGTGAATAAAAATATTTGATCAGATCAATGAACACAAATCAACAGGTGAACTGTTCCTGAATCAGCCAGTCTCAGGCACCACTTCATGCGGTGCACAAGAAACAAAAAGCTTATTTCAACAATATTCCTAGAATTCCAAAAATGGAAAAACAATAACTTTCAAGAACAGTCCAAAAAACATGCACGTCAGGCTGCCTTCCGGTCCAGGCCTCCCTCGCTAAAGAGATTTGTAATAAACTTAAAACTTTTTTGACAAAATTTAAAATTTATACTAAAACAGATATATTATTGTAGGCTACAAGTAAAAATACAATCAAAATTTCTATAAATAATTTTTCATAGCCTGACTGAATATGTTTTTTTCAGATATGGAGAAAAACATGATTGATTCCTGGAGAGAAAATAAAATAATAGTTACATTTAGGTTTAATGTTTTCTGCTCAGTTGATATCTGTCGTAGTTCTGTTTTTCTGTTATTTAGTTCCTTGGATTTACCTTTAAGACCTACAGTGTTCCTTTGGTGTTTTTGTGTTTCATTGTTAGATTTATTTTAATATTCTGTAGATCTTGTTGTGTTCTCCAGTGTTCCTTGTTCGATTTCTCATTCCCAGTCATCTTCCTCAGTGTTTTTCCTCAGCGTTCCACCCACACCTGTCCCCAATCAGCCCAGGTGTTTCCATTTTCCACTTATCTCTGCTACTTATTCAGCCTCTGTTTCACCAATCATCAGTTCAGCATTATTTGGCCTATATGCTAGAAGGTTCGTGTTGCACGTCTTGGTGTTTTCCTCTGTGATCATTTGAGTTTTCGTATTAGTTTTCCACTTCAGCCTTTTGTTTTGCTTTTTTTTTTTAATAAAGAGTTCTTGTGATTAACTTTTGAGCTCCCTGCATTTGGGTCCAGCCCTTCACAAACCTACAATATCTAGAATGTCATTTTAAAAAATCAATTATCAGATTTTATTTCACTAAATTAATTAATTACTGTTTCTATTTGTGTATTTGGTTTCCAGCTGTAGAGACCCATAGATCTAGTTTTCCCATCTAAAATGAACATTGTGAATTAAAAAAAGATGGATTATATGGGGAACCTTATGTATTAAAAATGTTATTAGTCATACATTTTATAGTAGATTTGCCTAAAGGTTGTCACTTGAAGTAGAATATTTCTCTTGTAGGTTGGGGTGCCTGACAAAAAGGTTGGCGGTATTGAGTTATTGTGTGTTATAGTGGATTATTCATGTAGAACCACCACTGCTGGTCTGAGTCCCTTTTATTCAGATTCATTCATTCAACCTTTATGTAGCGCACTTGAAGTCGACCAGTAGGGAACAGGCACTAACATCTACTAGGTTCCGCCAAGAGTAATGATGATGTCACACTCACTGAATATCAAACTGATTCTTTGATTGCTTCACAACATGCAATAAAGCATTTAGAAACAAACTTTATACAAATATTGAAAAAATAAAATACAAGCAAAAATTAAATAGAGCTCTTTCTTTCTTTTGTAAAAATAAAATAAAAATAAGTTCAGTTCTTTAGCAATGTTGCTACCCGGGGTAGTGTTGTGTATGGAATCTTATCTGTAACCCAAGATGGGTTTTCCGGATTGTGAAGGTTCTTTTGTGAAAGGATGTCCAGGTGTTACACCATCACGCCCAAAGAATCCAGAGTCACTATAAAACCAATCGGGATTTCCACAGATATTACCCAACAAGCGGTCACCTCGGTCTCTCAATGGGATTTCCACAGATGAGTGGTCACTTCTGTCACTCAGACAGGTTGTAAGGTCCACAGTTTGGTCGGTCAGTGCACGTGTAAGAATATAGGGAAAACTGACCAAGCCACGTTGGTTAAATTCAACTCGGTAAAAACTGAGTGCCCTCTGCTGGACCTTCCCGGTATTACAACCTAAATAACAGATATGTGTTTAGTAGCGGGTTACATTTATTTAAACAGATCAATCACACTGAGCCTCAGAGACTCATTTACAAGTTAGACCTGTTTGGACAGATGATAAGTGGTGAAGGTGAACAACATAGGATTTGGAGACAAAAAAAATTCCTAACATGCTCTTAATCTTTGGCCGAAGCTTAACAGCATGATAATGAAAAACAATCTCGCAACAACAAGCACAATGACGTCGATATTCTGCAGGGGGGAGGGGACGCAAGGGCGGTGATCTTTTATGATTCAAAAGATTTATAGAAGAGAGGCTCTTAAAAGCCTGCCTTCTCTTCAAGAAATGCTATCAATTGCGTTGAGGGACCAACTGATCAAATCCATAGCAGAATTAAGATTCAGAAGATTTGTAGAAGAGAGGCTGTAAGCAGTTTCACAGACAGGACAGAGCAAAGCGGAGAGGGAGAGGAGGGGAAAGGCATTCGCCCTTGACAAGAGCAATTGTTGAATGAGATACACGTAGTCTGAACACAGTACGCCCTGAGCCTCGATGACGGACCTCCTACTGAACTGGCATGACCCCTCACAAGCAGCAGAGTCCCTGCAGTGCTGTGCATCATTAGAACCTCATCAATTAACACCACCCTGGAACACGTCAAGTTCAAGTGGCTACTAACACAAACCAGCTTGAAAAATACGTCTAATATTTTTTGTCTCTCTCACCAGAATATCAGTTGTTTAAGCAATAAATAGCCAGACATTATCTTTATTTTTATTTTACCATTAATTTTATAATGATGAGATTTTAGGTAATTTATCTCTAGAAAATTTTCCACCCTCTAAAATGTATTTTTCCTCATCCGTTTAAACATCTGATATGATGAGACGCTACATTTAAACCCAGATATCCTAGCAGAGAGTGAGAAAACATAAAATGTGTGTGTGTGTGTGTGTTGGGGGGGAGGGGGGGGGTTAAGAGTGGTGATGCTTTAATACAGAACAGTTTTGAGATACATTGTTGGATGCTGCAGAATAGAGCATCAATCTGTGGTCAGTCACTGTTATGTTGGGGGTTCGTCCTTGGAAATATAGGACCGAATCACACAATTTGTGTGTTTTCAGGTTCAAGTATCTTTATTGTCATTCGCATCACATGTGGTACATGAGGTGGAATGAAATTGTGTACACAAGGTCCCAGTTACACCCAAAAATGGCAAAAATACAAAGTGTAAAAAGAAACAGCATACCGGTTTAAGGATCTAAGATATAAGCTAAATGAATGCTAAACAATATGCTGGATCCAAGTTATACGCTAAACATTAATAATATAAAACAATACGGTATATTAAACAGCAGCACGAACATGAGTCTGTGGTGAGCAGATGGGTATGAATAAATACAGCAGCATGAGATAAGTAGCATAATAATCAGCAGCACAGATAAGTCACATATCAGCAATTAAAGTGGCATTACAGTGACTATTCTGGTTAGGGATTTATGAGTCTAGCAACTTCAGGGTAGAAGCTGTTCCTCAGTCTAGTGGTTCTGCACTTAATGCTCCTTAACCTCCTGCCTGAGGGAAGCGGAGCAAAAAGTGAGTGTGCTGGGTGAGTGGGGTCCTTCATGATGCAGGTGGCCCTCTTCCTGCATTTGGAGTGTAAATGTCTGTGATGGTGGAGAGGCTGACTCCAACATCTTCTGTGCAGCCTTCACTGCTCTCTGCAAAGCTTTTCTTTCTGCAGCTGTGCAGCCTCCATACCACACGTTGATGCTGGAGCACAGGATGCTCTCCACTGCAAACCTGTAGAAGGAGGTGAGGACTGAGCTTCCCAGTCCAGCTCACCTCAGCTGCCTGAGGAAGTAGAGACTCTGACATGCTTATTGTTCTTATTTTATCTTTATTATATTGTTCTTTATTTTGTTCTTTAAATTCTGAAAATGAACTACTTTTTATTCTGAATGTTTTAAAGCTGGTTAGACTCACAGGGGTCACGATATTGATTGGTGAGAATCAAAGAACAGTCTGAGCAGCGTTATATTCAGCTAAATGAACACAGTTCGTTATGGAATTTTATTAGTTAAAAACTTCTGTTTTTGCTCTGTCAGAACCAGGTAATCAAAATTACTGAGAGATAATAAAATTGTGGCTCAAATGATTCTACAGTCTCTCCAGCGTGTCGCGGGTCTTCCCAGGGGTCGTCCTCCCAGTCGGACATGCCTGGAAAACTTCTCTAGAGCGGCATCCAAGGTTGCATCCTTACCAGTTGCCCAAACCACTTCAACTGGCTCCTCTCGATGTGGAGAAGCAGTGGTTCTACTCCGAGTCTCTCCTGATAACTGAACTTCTCACTCTATCTTTAAGGGAGAGTCCAGCTACCCTGCAGAGGAAACTCATTTTAACCACTTGCTTCCACAAACTCATTCATTTCATTTCAGTCACTACTCAGAGTTCATGGCCACAGGTGAGGGTAGGAACGTAGACCAACAGGCAAACGGAGAGCTTTGCCTTACAGTTCAACTCACTCTTCGCCACCACAGAACAGCACAGAGCCAGCAATACTGCGGAATCTGAACCGATCCATCCTTTGTTGCTAAAAGAACCAATTCTTTCTTCTAAAATAACACCTGATTGATCAAATCTTTCAGCCACTGCCAGTCCTCTGATTCCAGACTTAAGTAAAGCATGCATCGGTTGAATGAGCTTGTGTTTCTAACTGAAGAGCTGTTCCTGAAACTGTCCACTTTGTCTCCAGGTGAGCTGCCCTTGTCTCTGGCAGCCTGCACAAACCAGCCTGACATGGTAGAATACCTGATGGACAACCAGTACCAGAAAGCTGACGCTAAGATGGCAGACTCTCAGGGCAACACGGTGCTGCATGCCCTGGTGATGGTGGCGGTCAACAAATCTAACAAATCAAAGGAGAATACGAAGTTTATAACTGACATTTACGACCAGATCCTCGGGACCACCAACAGACTGCACCCCAAGCTAAAGCTGGAGGACATTGAGAACCACAATGGACTGACTCCTCTCAAATTGGCTGCAAAGATTGGCAAGACTGAGGTAGAACACCACAGGGGGTTATGAAAAGTTCTGCAAGGTTTTCTGACACACAACAGAGTTGGGTTTTAATCCCTCTCAGAGACAGAGTTTCTCTTTCATCTTTTTTTCTGCAGGTTTTTTCACACATCCTGAGAAGAGAATTCCAGGAGAGTCAGAACAAACATCTGTCTCGTAAATTCACTGAGTGGGTGTACGGACCCGTCCACTGCTACCTGTATGACCTGGCCTCAGTTGACTCGTACGAGAACAATTCTGTCCTGGAGATCCTGACCTACGGCAGCGACATCCCTGTGAGTTTCCTGATCTTTATGAGTCCGGTTGGAGTGGTTGAATCTTATGTCTTCTACTCAAACTTGCGTCTTCTCTTAGAACCGTCATAAGATGCTGGAGACGGAGCTGCTGAGCCGGCTCCTGGAGGAGAAGTGGCAGAGGTTTGCAGGTCGGATGTTTCTCTTCAACTTCCTGGCTTACCTTGTGTACCTGATCGTCTTCACTGCTGTAGCCTACAATAAGAAGAGCAGGAAGGTGAACTGGTTTCCACGCACTGATCGACAGATCTGTCTCTGAGACTGACTCGTCCTGATGTCTCCTCTGTGTCCACAGCCACCCTTTACCATTGAGAACAATGTCGTGGAGTGCCTGTATGTTTCAGGCCAGCTGCTGATCACTCTAGCAAACATCTATTTCTTTGTCATTGGGGTACGTGCACACATGTTAATGCTCATATTAACATTAGTGGAAATGTTGCCGTAATGATGACACTCATTAAAACATGTCTAAATCCATAGATTGTAGACATGTGTAGGAAACGGCCAAAGATAAAGACACTGCTGGTTGATGGGTATTATGAGATTCTCTTGTGAGTATTAAAGTATTTATTTTCTCAAACATGATCAAATTTGTTGTCAGAAGCACAAGAACAATGCTAGCTAAGAAGTCTACAGCAGAATGGTAGCTAAAATGTAAAAGTACATAGCACAAAAAGACAATAAGTTTGCTGAAGCAGATTTGTAAGAGAACTATGTTCTTGAAGGAACTGAAGAGATTTTAATGCCTTTTTTTTTAGAAAAATGAATTGTGAATTAAGTTAAAGTATAAGAGGTACAAAACACAAGTAGTAGCAGCCATTTCCTGAATAAACTGTATGATTTGATGAATGAATTAGCTAAAATAGCACAAGTATGCAGAAACAGTTCTACTGCAAATACAAAAAACAAACAAAAAAACAGGAAAACAACGGTACCACTTTACAATAAGGCTCCCCTTATAGATGGCTAATAAACAGTTTATAGATATATTAATAATTCCTCTATAAGCACTTTATAAAATAGTAATAATTGTTTATTATGCATTAATTTCAAAAGGTATTCAAAAGCTTATTCTCAAAAGCTCAAATAATATCTCATCTACTGCCCCAAATCTCAAGTGAGTTGAAAAGGATGTTCTGTGGACGCATTCTCATCTACCTGCCAGCTGTGCTCGAGTGCCTGACCACTGAGATCCTGGAACTAGCAGGAAACACGGCTCATGATAGCGGAAGGACAGGATCGTCTTTCGGCACCTACAGCTGGCTGTCCGCAGCAACGAGGAGCTTGGCAGACTGCTGGGAGGAGTGGCCATCGCTCTGGGAGGAGTTCTGCCCAGCATTTGGGCGGTCCTACAGCCCGAGGGGAACCGAGAGGCCAGCCGAGTCTGGGTGGACGGATCAGACAGCATCTGCAGCCAGTTTCTTAGGATCCACTGTGGGATGGACCTTTACAAGAGATCCTTCCTGCCTACAGCCATCAGCATCTATAACATCTCTTAATGAAACGAGGATAACGAGTTACAACAACAAATAATTTCCCTCTGGGATTAATAAAGTATTTTTGAATTGAATTGAATTGAATTAATGGTGACAAGGGGAAGTTATTTTGGTATATTTTGGTAAGTGTAAGTTATTCCTCTGTTCAAGGCTGACGTTCCACATTGTTTTGATAATTACAGACATATATCTATTCTGCCATGTTTTTCAAAAATACTAGAAAAAAATGTGTATAAAAGGATTCTCCATTATTTAGACCATAATTCAATTCTTTACAAACATCAATATGGTTTTAGGAAGAATCACTCTACATATATGGCTTTGCTTCATCCATCCATTATCTTTACCCAATTCTTCCATTTTGGGTCACGGGGGTCACTGGTGCCCATGTCCAGCAATCACTGTGCGAGAGGCGGGGTACACCCTGGATGGGTCGCAAGTCCGTCACGGGGCCATATAGAGACAAACGAGACAAACAACCATTCACTCTCTCACTCACAACTAGGGACAATTTAGAGTTACCAATCAGCCTAACATGCATGTTTCTGGTCTGTGGGAGGAAACCAGAGTACCCGGAGAAAACCCACGCATGCACGGAGAGAACATGCAAACTCCACCCAGAAAGAGGATTAGTCATTATATCACTACAGAATGCTTGTTTACACTTTATTATAGTCTGATATACCCATATATGTCTTGTTGCAATGTAATTTGGGGAAGTACATTTCCCACAACTTTGCACAAAATTTTGGGTCTTCAAAAACGACTTGTTAGAATTGCAACTCAATCAGATTATCATTGTCCTTCTTCTCTGTTTAGGAGTTTACAGATTCTTACTATTTATAACATTAACGTTTTTCAAATTTGTATTTTTGTTTATGAGATTTATGTAAGTCAAGAGGATATACCAAAGCATTTCATCCATTACTTTAAATTAAAAACGCAGTTTCATTCTTACTTAACTCGCTGGAGCGCTTCATTTTCCTAAATATCAGACCAGCAAAGGTCAGTTTTCTCTCCGTTACAGGGGAGCTAAAGTTTGACATGATTTTTCGCATTTGGTAATAGGCAGGCCTTCTGTAAAAGAGTTTAAAAGTTATTTAAAACTTTATTTAATTAAAGAATTGTGATTGTCACTTTTTAATTGTTACATATTTTATTCAAATTTCCATTAATACTTTCTAGATATGTTTTTTGTTTATTTATTTTTCTGTATAACTGTATTCCTAAATTTATGATCAATTGACTGTATTCTTGGATTGTATTATTTGTATTGGTGGAGGTTTTATATAAGTCCACTGGGCTTCTGCCTCACCCTGCACTGTTATTATAATTATTTTTTTCTTAATATCTCCATCCATCCATCCATCCATCCATTTTTTTCCGCTTATCCGGGGGCGGGTCGCGGGGGTAGCAGCCTAAGTAGGGAGGCCCAGACTTCCCTCTCCCCAGCCACTTGGGCCAGCTCTTCCGGGGGAATCCCGAGGCATTCCCAGGCCAGCCGAGAAACATAGTCCCTCCAGCGTGTCCTGGGTCTTCCTCTGGGTCTCCTCCCGGTGGGACGTGTCCGGAACACCTCACCAGGGAGGCGTCCAGAAGGCGTTCTAAACAGATGCCCAAGCCACCTCAACTGGCTCCTTTCGACGTGGAGAAGCAGCGACTCTACTCTGAGTCCCTCCCGGATGATCGAGCTTCTCACCCTATCTCTAAGGGAGAGCCCAGACACCCTGCGGAGAAAACTCATTTCGGCCGCTTGTATCCGAGATCTCATTCTTTCGGTCACAACCCAAAGCTTGTGACCATAGATGAGGGTGGGAACGTAGATCGATTGTTAAATTGAGAGCTTCGCCTTTTGACTCAGCTCTCTCTTCACCACGACAGACCTGTACAGCGCCTGCTTCACTGCTGACGCTACACCTATCCGCCCAACGATCTCACGCTCCATTTATCCCTCATTCATGAACAACACCCCAAGATACTTAAACTCCTCCACTTGGGGTAGGACCTCCTCCCTGACCCGGAGAGGGCACTCTACCGTTTTCCGGCTCAAAACCATGGCCTCGGATTTGGAGGAACTGATCTTCATCCCGGCCGCGTCGCATTCGGCTGCAAACTGCTCCAGCGAAAGCTGTAGATCATGATCTGATGAAGTCAATAAGACCACATCATCTGCAAAAAGCAGAGAAGCAATCCTAAGGCCACCAAAACAGATCCCCTCAACACCTTGGCTGCGCCTAGAAATTTTGTCCATAAAAGTTATGAACAGAATCGATGATAAAGGGCAACCTTGGAGGAGTCCAACTCTCACCAGGAACATGCCCGACTTACTGCCGGCGATGCGGACCAGGCTCTGACACCGGTCATACAGGGACCTAACAGCCTGTATCAAAGGGCCCGGTACCCCATACTCCCAGAGTACCCCCCACAGGGTTCCCCCACAGGGTTCCCCGAGGGACGCGGTCGAACGCCTTCTCCAAGTCCACAAAGCGCATGTAGACCGGTTGGGCAAACTCCCACGCACCCTCCAGGACCCTGCTGAGAGTGTAGAGCTGGTCCAGTGTTCCACGGCCAGGACGTAAACCACACTGCTCCTCCTGAATCCGAGGTTCGACTATCCGACGGACCCTCCTCTCCAGAACCCCCGAGTAGACCATAAAAGGGAGGCTTAAGAGCGTGATTCCCCTGTAGTTGGAACACACTCTACGGTCCCCCTTTTTGAATAGGGGGACCACCACCCCTGTCTGCCAATCCAGGGGAACTTCCCCCGATGTCCACACAATATTGCAGAGTCGTGTAAGCCAACACAACCCTACAACATCCAGAGCCTTAAGGAACTCAGGGCGAATCTCATCAACCCCTGGGGCCCTGCCACCGAGGAGCTTTTTAACCACCTCGGTGACCTCAGCGCCAGAGATTGGAGGGCCCGACCCAGAGTCCCCAGGCTCCGCTTCCTCAGTGGAAGACGTGCCGGTGGGATTGAGGAGGTCTTCAAAGTATTCCGCCCACCGACCCACAACATCCCAAATTGAGGTCAGCAGCAGACCACTCCCACTATAAACAGTGTTGGTGGCGTACCACTTTCCCCCCCCGAGACGCCGGATGGTGGACCAGAATTGCCTCGAAGTCGTGCGGAAGTCATTCTCCATGGTCTCTCCGAACTCCTCCCATGCCCGAGTTTTTGCCTTATCGACCACCCGAGCCACATGTTGCTTGGACTGCCGGTACCCATCAGATGCTTCCGGGGTCCCACAGGCCAAAAAGGCCCGATAGGACTCCTTCTTCAGCCTGACAGCATCCCTCACCGATGGTGTCCACCATCGGGTTCGAGGGTTGCCGCCGCGACAGGCACTGACAACCTTGCGGCCGCAGCTCCGGTAAGCCGCCTCGACAATAGAGGCACGAAACATGGTCCACTAGGACTCAATGTCCCCCACCTCCCTCGGAACATGTTCGAAGTTCTCCCGGAGGTGGGAGTTAAAACTCTGTCTCACAGGAGACTCTGCCAGACGTTCCCAGCAAACCCTCACAATACGTTTGGGTCTGCCAGGTCTGACCGGCATCCTCCCACACCATTGGAGCCAACTCACCACCAGGTAGTGATCAGTGGACAGCTCCGCCCCTCTCTTCACCCGAGTGTCCAAGACATGTGGCTGCAGATCAGATGAGACAATGACAAAGTCGATCATCGAACTGCGGCCTAGGGTGTCCTGGTGCCAAGAGCACATATGGACACCCTTATGCCTGAACAAGGTGTTTATTATTGACAATCGATGACGAGCACAGAAGTCCAACAACAGAACACCACTCTGGTTCAGATCAGGGGGACCGTTCCTCCCAACCACACCCCTCCAGGTCTCACTGTCATTGCCCACATGAGCATTGAAGTCCCCCAGCAGAACAAGGGAGTCCCCAGGAGGTGCACTTTCCAGTACCCCCTCCAAGGACTCCAGAAAGGGTGGATAATCCGAACTTCCGTTTGGTGCATAAGCACAAACGACAGTCAGAACCTGTCCCCCCACACATAGGCGGAGGGAGGCCACCCTCTCATTCACCGGGGTGAACCCCAACACACAGGCACCAAGTTGGGGGGCAATAAGTATGCCCACTCCTGCTCGGCACCTCTCACCAGGGGCAACTCCAGAGTGGAAGAGTATCCAGCCCCTCTCAAGGAAACTGGTTCCAGAGCCAGAGCCATGTGTAGAGGTGAGTCCGACTATTTCTAGCCGGAACCTCTCAGCATCACACACCAGTTCAGGCTCCTTCCCCACCAGTGAGGTGACATTCCACATCCCAATAGCCAGCTTCTGTAGCCGAGGATCAGACCGCCAGGGTCCCCGCCCTCGGCCACCACCCATCCCACATTGCACCCGACCCCTTTGGCCCCTCCCACAGGTGGTGAGCCCATAGGAAGGGGGACCCACGTCTCCTCTTCGGGCTGTGCCCGGCCGAGCTCAATGGGTAAAAGCCCGGCCACCAGGCGCTCGCCCGTGTGCCCCACCTCCAGGCCTGGCTCCAGAGTGGGGCCCCGGTGACCCACGTCCGGGCAAGGGAACATTAGGTCTTAATATCTTTGATCTGTAATTTTAATTCTTTAATTGTGCAAAATAAAATAAAATTAAATAAAATAAAAACTAAACTAAACAGAGACAAAACTGACCAGTTTCTTGCCAAATAGTGAGACAAATCTGTTCACCTATATATATTTCATCTAGAGTTATTATTAAATATAATTGAATTCAATTTTCAATTCAGTTTAGTTATATAGCGCCAAATCACAACAAAGTTGTCTTAGGGCACTTTACAGGAACATTCACATACATAAAAAAGCCAATTAGTAAAGTTATATTTATAATAATAATAATATATTATTAAGTATTAAACATTTCAGACTAAGTTACTACCCTGTAAGCACAATAAGCATGTGTAAACCTAATTTTTTTAGGGTATAATATTAGTTGTAGATACTTATAATACTGTGATTAAGTACAATATTAGTCCATCCATCCATCCATTATCTTTTACCCGATTCTTCCATTTTGGGTCACGGGGGTCGCCGGTGCCCATGTCCATCAATCACTGTGCGAGGGGCGGGGTACACCCTGGACAGGTCGCAAGTCCATCACAGGGCCACATGGAGAAAAATGAGACAAACAAACATTCACTCTCTCACTCATACCTTGGGACAATTTAGAGTTACCAATCAGTCTAACATGAATGTTTTTGATCTGTGGGAAGAAACCGGAGTACCTGGAGAAAACCCCTGCATGCACGGAGAGAACATGCAAACTCCACCCAGAAAGGCCCCCGGACCGGGATTTGAACCAGGGAGAGGCAGCAGCTCTACCAATTATGCCACCGTGCTGCCACAATATTAGTCTATAGTCTGAAATGTTTAATATTAATGTTTAATATTCTGAAATGTTTAATACTCTAGATGAAATATATATAGGTGAACAGATTTAGCTCATTATTTGCCAAGAAACTGGTCAGTGTTGTCTCTCTGTCACCCTTAATTAATGCATAATAAACAATTATTAATGATTTATAAAGTGTTTATAGAGGAAAAGTAATGTATATAAACTATTTATTAGCCATCTATAAGGGGAGCCTTATTGTAAAGCGGTACCATTTATTTTTTACATTATAAAGCCATTTGAGATCTAAAAGGGTTTCTGAAATTATTACTTGATCATACGATTATCATTCCTAAACTAACCAGACACAGAGCCTTGTGGTGTCCCTGCTGTTGATAGTTTTGTGCAGGGTTTCCTGTTCCTAGTCTCAGCTGGGCTGTACCTGTGGGGGCAACAGGAGTACCTCAGCTTCTTGGTGGTTTGTCTGGCGCTCAGCTGGGTGAACATACTTTACTACTCCAGGGGTTATGAACACATGGGCATCTACAGCGTGATGATTCAGAAGGTAGCTGACCTTTGAACTCTGCTACGCCTGAAATCACGGTGAACTCTGATCTGACACCATCTGTCTCCTGTTATCTTTGCAGATGATCCTCAGCGATATCCTGCGTTTTCTTTTTGTCTATATCGTCTTCCTCTTTGGATTCTCAGCAGGTACAAATATCTATCACCCACCACCATTTTTGACTTTAGCCAACACAAAAGTGGCTCCAACTTGGTCAATTTTTACATAAATTCAACTAAAATATGGCGTGGTAGTAGCTGAGAGTCATTCACAAACATACTTTGTGTTTATAGTTATTTTGAAGGTGTGACAAAAACAGCTGTCATTTCTCAGCAGAAGATTAACTTAATTTAAAAACTCTGGCATTTTAATTTTATTTTATTTTTTCCTTCTTGCTCTTGGTGAAGGCGGACACTTTTTCCACACTCTCTTTTTTCTGCTTCTGCTCTTTGTCCTGCAAACCTTTCGGAGCCTCTCTTTGCATATCTTCTGAATTGTAAATTATGGCTCTGGTCAGCTGGTCTCTCAACACAATTGATCAAATTTTCTCGACGAGAAGACAGGGTGAAGGAGAGTCCTCCTGACCCGACGAGACACTTGCAGCTGGATACATGATGGATTCCTGGGGGCAGTGGAAGATCATGTGTCTGTCCATATTGTCTGTCGAGGACGTTGAAGACGCGTACATAATTGGATTTATGAACAGGATTTCTGCTTTTTGGAGTTGGTGGTTACCTGGCATATTGACAAATCTGAAAAACATCGGCAGCTGTTTCGGCCATTGTGAAGCTGCCTGGCCTGTGTGAAGGAATGTGCCGAGCTGTGAACAGTCAGACTCAAATGCTGTGTGAGCTGAGCTGTAAGCTGGATGCCATTTCTGCTGAGAATCGCAGGCTACTTGCGGCTCCTGAATCTTGCTGGCAGGAAGGAATCGACCTTGGAGAAGTTACAAGCTTGGCTCGGCAGTACTGACCTCAAAATTTTGCTGTGTGGAGTCGCCATTGAGATGTACCAGTGAGACTGTAAGACAGATGAAAATCAACAGAGTTGGCCTGACCCAAAACAACTGTTGTTATCTGAATCTGGCTTCCCCAGGTCGGCCTTGGAAGCTGACTATCTCAAATTCTCCTGGATGTTATGTGAACAAGATGCTCTGCCCCCCATTCCCTTCACCAAGGACATTTGTGGACCTGTCTGGAACAGCGTTCATGGACTTATTTACAAACGCACACAAGCGTACACTCATTCACATAACTCACACTCCCCTCAACCCACCGCGGTAACCTAGGTTGGATGTGAGGCGCCAGGTGGCCGCGACGCTCTCTTGGGTGGCCAGTGCTGGGAGCCCCACTCCCACTTCACCCTCACCCACTCCACATGCAGGTCCTTCTCAAAAAATTAGAATATTGTGATAAAGGTCATTATTTTCCACAATGTAATGATAAAAATGAAACTTTCATATATTTCAGATTCATTGCACACCAACTGAAATATTTCAGGTCTTTAACTGTTTTAATACTGATGATTATGGCATACAGCTCATGAAAACCCAAAATGCAAGTCCCAAAAAATTAGCATATCATGAAAAGGTTCTCTAAACAAGCTATTAACCTAACCATCTGAATCAATGACATAACTCTAAACACCTGCAAAAGATTCCTGAGGCTTTTAAAAACTCCCAACCTTGTTCATTACTCAAAACCGCAATCATGGGTAAGACTGCCGACCT